TTGCAGCAGACACCAACGAATCATGTGGAAACTCAGTTTAAGAGCATGTCAACAGCTGAAATATTGGTAGCAGCGGAACAAGCTTATCTCCAACAAGCACCTTTAGAAAACATACAGGAAGTACTGACAATACTGCCAGAAGAGAGGCAGAAACTTCAGACAGAGGATGTTTTATTGCAACCCCTCATCAAATTTCTAAAAGATGACATTCTCCCAGAAGATGAAATAAAGGCCAGAAGAATCCTAATTGAACAAGGCTTTTACCAACTAACAAATGGCATACTGTATCACCTTCATTCACCACGAGGGAAAGGCACCAAAATAGAAAGAGAGGTCAAACAACTATGCATACCTCAAGATATGAGAGATGATATTCTAAAGAACTACCATGACTTCTTAGGTCACCAAGGCCAAGACAGAACACAAAAAGCCATACAATTAAAATACTTCTGGCCAAAAATGTATTCAGATATAGAAAAATATGTCCGGTCATGCGAAACCTGTCAAACGTCAAAACCGTACTACCATAAAAAATCAGCCACACTTCGTCCACTACCCATTGGCACCACATTTAGCAGAATCCATATGGATATCTTGGGCCCACTAAAGACAACAAAAGAAGGATATCATTCAATTCTATTGATTGTATGTCCCTATTCAATATAGGTCGAAGCATTTCCCTTGAAGTCAACAGAGGCCATAGTGATTGCAAGAATACTTTTTGCAGAAATAATATGCCGCTATGGGACACCAAAGGAAATTCTAACAGACAGAGGGCAGAATTTTATGAGCTAATTGATCAACAAAATATGTAAACTTCTGGGGGTTAAGGAACTTAATACATCAAGTTACCACCCACAAACGAATGCAGCATGTGAAAGGATGAACTCAACAATACTGACAGCAATCCAATCTTATTGCAGGCCAGATCAATCAGATTGGCCAGATATTCTTCCAGGAGTCATTATGGCTTACAGAGCTACACCAGCTACAGAATCTACCAATATGAGTCCCTTCCATATGTTATTCGGTCGCGAGCCCACACTCCCAATTGATGTTGAACTACTACAGCCAGACAACCTTAAAAGAGACGCAAAACAATATTTTGAGCAGATGCAAACAAATCTAAAAACTGCGAACGATATTGCAAATAAAAACATTCAAAGGGCTCAAGAAAAGTATAGTAAGCAACACAACAAAAAAGCAGCACCACCAAATTTTAAAAAGGACCAAATGTTTTGGTTAAACTGTACTAAAGTACAGGTAGGATTTTGTAGGAAACTTCAACGTAAATGGGTAGGACCATATTATATCTGTCATGACTTTGAAAACAACACCTATAAATTAAGAAGGAACGCTGATCACCAGCTCGTCAAGTCACCCATTCATGCAGACAGATTAAGGCCTTACATTGATCCTGCAAAGCGCCCTACCAATTTGCCTGAGATCCCAGAAGACCAGCAAACGGACCTGAATCCAGAGGAGATCAATCAAAATCTGTCACAAACTGCTGATGCACAACCGCACCCCAATGCAAATAATGATAACAGTAACAGTGAGCTAACTACACAACCTAACAACAATACTAATAATGACGAAACACAAAATGTACAAATTCAACAAACAAAATTTGAAGACAAACACATTGACAAGATACTGCAGTCAAGAAAATACAGAGAGCAATTTTGGTATAAAACACAACTTAGGGAAGTAAAAGGACCCCAATGGATAGTTCAGGATCTTTTGCCTCAAGATCTTGTACAAAGTTTTCATGCCACAAAAACCCAAAAAGGACTGGTAAAGAAAATGGCAAAGAAAACGAGAAATAATTAATCTCTTCCCCATTCCCCCCCCCCCCTCAAACTTCAAGTTACCCCTGATGATGTGGGGCCAAGAATTCGTCATCTGCAAGCTAAATTGTGAATCATAAAAGGCGATTAAAATTTGCAATAAGGAAAGAGATCTGAGTTTTTTTTGTTATTTTTATTTTAACACATATCATATATTGGCTTACATAGAGGTATATAGAGTCAAATGGCCTAGCTAACCAAATGATTCAACATACAGAAATGCGTATATATCATTGGTGACGATCAGTGTTATATAAGTACTATAACAAAATTATTTTTTGTAAAACAACATTGATCTCATTCCTTCAAACAAACTGCCTATGGGCAAGTCCTTTCACTTCTAAAAATACACAAGAGTAGGAATCTAACTAGCAAAACCAAAAGAGTGTTCAGAAGATACATTAGATGAGAGCATGAATCCAAAATTATGAGAGGGCTATATTTGTCTGATAGTGAGACTATTGTGGTAATATACATCACACCTATTTTACTGGTGTTCAATGATGAATATTCATATTTTTTTTTTTGATTGTATATGTGTTCACAGTATTAGTGTTCATACTTTACTATATTATAATACCATGTATATAATCATAAAGTGTCATTCTATACTTTCAAGGCAGATTTTAATAGTGCATAGCAAGTGACTAATGATCAAATAGCAGCAGAAATTGGAAGAATAATCCTTGTCTGACATGCAAAACAAGATCAGGGTAGGGCTGAACCGAATAGAGATAGTAATTATATGCATTTATGAAGCATGGTACATTTTTTTAAAGGCAGATGGCTCATTTTTGGGAACCTGAAATATATGAAGTTCAATTTGAATGTTAATCGTGTATGCCTGCTTAATGCATTCTACACTATTTTGTTTAAATTATTATTTTGCCAATTGTGAATCAGCCTTTACTAACTACTGCCACTTTGTGTTGTAGGATATGTTTCTGTTGTGTTCATTATAAAATGACACCCAACATCATAAGGTACTTATTATAAAATGTTAATTATGTCTTAAATATTGGATATTAGGATCCTATAGTTTCACGGCAACATAACATCAACATTGATTGAAAGTGATCAGTATTGAATTCTGATTCGTTTTTGGGAATTCAAATATTATGAAAAATATTGAGTTACAGACTTAGCTCCTTTTAATATAGGCCTACCAGAATGATGTCGGGAGAAGAGTTTAAGAACAACGTCTGGGTGTCGGGTCGACACTTAAACAGGGGGCGTCCATATATGACCAGGTAGTATTTAATACAGCCATTCACCCAATACAGGGCTAGACTTACACCACAACTTGGCTCCCAAGATGGATTATCTATAGTAAGTTATCAATGGTCAGCTATGATAGAGATTAGAGACAATAGTAGTAATGAGATAATCCATCTATAAACATTAGGCAACTTAGTAAATGAATGAATGGATGTCACTTAAATACTACCCATTAACAACTATAAAATATTATTAAGTTTAAATATATATAATTACTATGTATTGTTTATTGTTACCAAGTAACCTCTAGTATATTAGAGGAAAGATTGTAGATCATAGGTAGAACCACACAGGCAGGCAAGGGACATACTGAAGGGCAGGTCTCTGATAAGTTATTTCTTAGATGCTGTTCCTTATTAAGTTACTTAGTCTGTGGGTCAGTATTATGTATATATATTATCATTGTTAAATATTGTTACAGAATATAAGATTATACTAAGAGAAGTGAGTTATTGAATTATTGTATGTTCAATCGTACACCCCAACTAGATTGAACATACAACCCATCGTCGCAGGTTGGACCATAAGCAGGTCCCCTAAACCCCGGATGATAATTTCATGAAAGAATTCACTACAAATGCACAAAACCGAAACGTCCGAGAACCATGAATCAAAGCATAGACTGGCACAGATGTCTCACTACACGTTGTGGGATTGTTTGCCAATGATTTTGGAGTGTCTGTGCCAACTCTGCAACAGTTCGTTGTGGCACGGCTTGAGTTCGAACCTGTCCTCCAAGTTCATCCCAAAGGTGTTCGATCGGGTTCATGTCGGGAGACATAACGGGCCAATCCATAACATGGACATGATGATTGTTCAGAAAGTCTCTTGTGAATCTGGCAGTGTGGGGATGGGCGTTGTCATGATGGAAAACCATCTGTCGACGGATGCCATGTTGAGCCAGCAATGGAAGCAACACCAGACGAAGGATGGCGTCAACATAATGTTGACCACCACCAACTGGGACCGGAAGTTGATGTTGATAGCGGCCCAAACCATGATGCCACCTCCCCCGAAAAGATCCCTTTCTAGCACGCATTTACGAGCAAAGCGTCCATGCCGACGTCGGTAGATACGGTGACGTCCCTCAGGAAAACTGAGGTTGAATCGGGATTCATCCGAGAAGATGACATTTCGCCATGGTGTGTTGTGCAGATACCCGATGGGTGGACATTAAAGTGTCTGGCGACGGCTACCTGTGAAACCCCCTGATCCAGCATGCCAATAGCTCTGTTCCTGTTTTCTTGTGTAAGGCGTGGCATTTTTCCGAAGTGATGAATGTTGAAATTTTGATCTGTATTTAAAGGGCCAGAGTGCAGGGAATGCACATGCAAAACATGTGACATGGGACTGCTTAAAATCGTGAAAAAAGACAAGTGTTGTGTTTGCACAAACAAAGTTCATTACCAAGAACTGATATTGGGTTCAAACCCAGAACTCAACAAAAAGAGACCCATCACAAGTTTCACCTATGTGCCGTAAGATAGGAAAGCCCAAGAAAACGTTTACCAGAAATATTTCACGAATTAGGCATTGTGTTTTTAATGGCTTTGAGTATATATCTACAGATGAATGAGAAAGTATATCAATGAATTACAAAGACAAAGAGTTGAAACACTCCCTCCAATGTTCTATCATATTCCTGATATTCCAGCCAATGTTCTATCCTATTCTTGAAGCAATGGTTACAAGTGTTATCAACTCAATCCCAAGCATGGAATCCATGTACCACTACCAAAGGAGCAAAATCAGCAGGAAAGAAAAGACAGACAAAACTAGTAGGGGACCCCAGATATATGAACTCACACAGCGCATGACATATTAAGATCCCTGCTACAATAACACTGATAAAATAGAATTCTGTTGTTGTACCTTATTACTGTTTAGAGCATAGACATATTCACTGGTTGTATCTGATGCTGTATCAGGCTTTAGTCCACTTATACCAACTAGTGTTCCATTTTTCTCCTCCCATGGTAAACCAGGTGTGGTCTTTTGCCAAAACTAGAACAAAGTAAAATAAATGTTATTTTAAGCCCCAACATGCCTTAACATCGGTTAAATATACACAAAAGGATCAATGATTTATATACATGTACCATATTTTTGATAAGTCTATCTAATTTCTCTAAGACAAAAATTAACTACTGTGCCATTAAGTACAACAAATATATGTTAGCTTTTGTGAGAAGTGGTATCAGATAATATGTATCATACAAATGAAAACAATTCAACACACAGCATTAACATACTTTTACTAACTGACCATCATTTGTAGAAAACAGTGTAACTTAACTTGTACTAACTGACCATCATTTGTAGAAAACAGTGTAACTTACCTGTACTAACTGACCATCATTTGTAGAAAACAGTGTAACTTACTTGTACTAACTGACCATCATTTGTAAATAACAGTATTACTTACTTGTAGTAACTGACCATCATCAACAGATAACAGTATATGTAAATAATTATTAAATGTTGATGTTATTATTGATGTTATTAAACTTCTTTTTAAACTCTTTTTAAGGTTCTGATCATCCTTTTGAAAATCAGAACTTTTACTTTGGATAGCTATACCATAAACGTTATCACAAATCTACAATATATATATATATACCAGTATGAATTATTTTAATAAAGTAAACTATTAAACTAAGCAAAACCATGTACTGTGGCATTGGGTGGGGTGGGAGGGAATAACTTCCGGACATGGTTACTGGTTTTCAGCATGGTTTTATATTATAACAATTTTCCGGTATTCGCTCCCCCTACTAAACTGTCATTGTGGCTGAGTATAGATATGCTTGCCTATGTCTCTATCAGCCAGTATTAATAGAAGATTTCTTTAACAAGAGTTCCTAAACAGCATGTCCTTGCCAAAGAAGAGACAAGAACATCTTTCGAAACTAGGGAACAAAATTAATCTAGCGGTACACTACATATTATTCTTGGATGAAAACTTCACTCCCTTTTTATGCGACAATATTGTGTAAACAAGAATAACAGATAGCCACACAATTTTGCAAAGTCTGGAAATACGCCCGCACAGCAGCTATATTTTGACCGCAGCTTATTTTGAAAGGATAATCTCTTGCATGTTTACAAGCTTTTTCGCACATATAAACAGATGATAGCGGAATGCTGAATTTCAATAAGGTTTGTCCTTTCATGACCCAAATGCTGAATTTCAATAAGGTTTGTCCTTTCATGACCCAAATGCATCACATCAAATTTGAAAAACATCCGTCAAAAACTCTAACCTCAATCATAAATGACAGACGAATTGACGGGGCGAAGACCATAGAGTATACACTCAAAGTACATGTTGGAGTATAAAAACTTGAAATCATGCAGAAATGGCAAAACAGCTGATTAACAAGCCAACAGTGAGGCTGATGTCCCCCTGCCGAAATCCCAAAATAAATAGATGACACTTATTAATTAATTGCAAAATTATTTTTTTAAAAAGTATCAAGCAATCAAACTGAATATCAACTATACACTAAGTTTCATCACTCTCTATCAGATAGAATCAAAGTTATCTTGTCCCAAAGTCAAAGCATTAACCAAAGAAATTGTTTAACTCTGCTTAGCTTTAGCTCTAAATGTTAATCATTGAACTCTACATCAAGTTTAAACATTCTATCGCTCCTTATGTCAAATCTAGTTTAAAATATTTGATTATTTCGAGATCAAAACATAGCACACTTTAAAACTCTGAGTGAAGGGGTAATCATTAATCATTTTCTGAACAGACTGCCCCTTTAAAATGTAAGTAACCTTATCGTTGAAATCAATCAGCTGCTTGATCTCATGAACTTCTAACACTTCGCATAAAGTTCAAGTTGATCGAGTGTAACTTCAGTCTCTAGAACACACACAAATTTTTCAAATTGATCAAGGGTCATAACTCCCAAATTGCTGAAAATTAACAGACTTCGTTGTTTCATGAACATAATCAAGGGCAATAACTGTGACAGTGTTACTTATTGCAAATTGTTGAAATCAATAGGATTATTCATTCCGTGAACATAATCAAGGGCAATAACTCTGTTTGTAATTATAGGAAATTGTTGATAATTAATAGACTTCTTTGTCTCCGGAACATAAACACTGTGTACAAATCTAAAATCAATTAAATGATAACATCAGCCTCCAGAGTATCTACAAGCAATATTGGATGACTGACGGACAGATGGTCTGACAGGGTTGGCAAGAACAACATTTCAATGTGGGCACATAAAAAACACAATTTGGGTAAGTAATTAAAGCTGAGAGTATTAAGTAGATGTGAGAATCTTCAGTAATAGATACATCTTGGAAATCCTACAACAATGTTGAATGATGTACAAGTCAGTAATTCATATCAAATCTCAATACCCTCTTCTTCCACGACCATATCTATAAATGCTTACCTTATCTCCTGATGAATTTTTACACTGTTCATACGGTCCAAACATCCACTCTGGAACAGATGCGATCTCTTCATTACAATTAGTCTTAATAAAATCAAATTCTATATCAATACGTTCCAATCTAAATGAACAAACCTTTGTACCAGACCATGGATCAGGTTTATCTGATGTGTCATTGGATGCTTTACTAAACGCAATAATCAGTGCTGATTCCTTAAAATTGTTGTTAGTATAATGTCCAACTGCGGCTGAAGTTGCAATGGTATATTCTTTTCCACAATTCATAGGAATTTCTAAAAATGGATACACAGATTTAGTACCATTATTCAAACAAATCCGAAATATGGTGGTCTCAAAACCTTCAAATTTTGTCACACTTTTCATTTTAATAGTTAAAAAATAAATAAACTTGTCAATTTTGAAAACTTTGATGAACCTTACTATCAGTTCTTTACGATATTTTGAAAAAACGTTTAATCCATGGTCACCAATATACTTGATTCTGTTTTCATTATCCACAAACTTTCTGAATGTTATCATATTATTTGGACTGGGTTGGGAAATAGCAACTATAAATTCTTCTGTTTCTTCTGCTAAAAACAACACTAACACAGGACCTTTTCCACCAAAAGAACTTTCATTATTTTTTCCTTGTGATATCCACTGCCATGTTGAAATATTGTTTAAATCATGGTAGGAACACAAACCATCACAAACAGAACCACACACTAAAAGTTTCCGAGCAACATGATTTATCTCTAAAACATGTATTTGGTTATCACTGCCAGTAGAATTTCTTTCTAGTTTTGAAGTACATGGAAATGAGGAGGGATAAGGGCCAATCTGTAGTGAATTTTTGATCATTAAGTTTGAAGAGAAGTGAAATAAATAATTAACACCTGAAACATAAACATCACCTGTATTACGATCAACAGTCACCTGGTTTGGGTTCACATAATCCTGGAATTTATATTCTTCTCCTCTACTAGAGTATATGACAAGAAGAATTAAAAGTATGTTAATCATGGTATTTGTACAATATCAACTTTTCATATTTCAAATATTCTTTCTTCGAACTTTCTCCTGAAAAGGACAAATTATTATATGATAATTATAGCTACATAATAATCGAGTTCATTAATAAAATCATAAAATAAGATACAGTCATGGCTAGATTCATTTCTAGTTGTGTGAATATTGGCCAAATTCACCATATTGTATGAATACTGCAAAAACACACATTTTTGATCTGAAACACGAATTTGGAACTTTTCTTTTCCACATATTTTATTGTAAAACATGTGGCGTAAATAGCCAAATATGAATAAGAAAACTATTCACATTTTCATAATGGATAATGATTGGTTTCAACCGTTTAACAATTTACAACCGTTTATTGAGACATCTTTAATCACTGTCATTATAGTATAATTTAATTTGTAACAAATTTAACAATAAACAATGGCTTAACAAACTTGAATTTTCAAGATACTAACTTGAATTTTCAAGATACTAACTTGAATTTTCAAGATACTAACTTGTTACTAGTTAGGCCTACTTTTATCCGTTACATATCTGTTACATTTCTGGTAGCCTATATTTGTGTCAAGGCTGCTGTGTGGGCGTATTATCTTTCTTGTATGGCCTTTTACTACCCAGAATTTTCAAGTTATTGACTTACAGGCTTTAAAATTTAGAAAAGAATAAATTAATGGCCCTATTACGCTTCCGTAGAATTAACAGACGGGGAAAGAATATTGCGTTTATACTAAGCTCTGATAAAAAAAACATGTCTCCTCTTCATAAACTGGCAGTATTGACCTAAATAAATGAATGAGTGAATGTTGTTTATAGCACGTCGACACCGTAAATCATGTCAATCTACGTGTTATCGCCGATAATCTGCTTATGTTTTGGGAGTACCCCTAAGTGATCGGATAGGCTGTTCCTACACCTTGTCACTAAGATAGCAGAGAATGGGACTCGAACCCTCGACACCATTGATGGCAGACCAAGGCGTAGCCTATCGGCCACCCGACCCTCTCCCCAAGAGTCGCCTTCTAGGACACGCTAGGAATGAGGCGATGGACACATTCTGCTATCTAACTCTGTACTATTGACCTGTAAAATAATGCACTGTAAAAAATTTATATTTATTTTACATTGTTTCTTGAATTACCTCGCAACGTCCCGGGTTCTAAAGGGTGTGAGGGGATGGCAGAGATGTCCTAGGGGGCAGATGTTCCAGAGGAATAATGTCGGGGGGGGGGTAACTCCGGGGGTAGATGTCCGGGGGGGGGGGGCAGATGTCCGGGGGGGGGCCAAATGTTCGGTGAGTAAAAGTCCGGTGGTAAATGTCCTAGGAGGGAAGATGTTTTCAGGAGGAAATGTCCTGGGGGTAAAAGTCCTAAAAGGGGGGGAGGGTATCTGGGGGCAGATGTCCGGCGGGGGAAATACCCAGGTGGGGTGGGTGGGGGTGATGTCGTGTATTACGTCAATAAAGACTATTTTTAGAACTGGGACGTTTGATTCGTCATTATGCACCACATTTAATTTTGTTTTTTGGACTTCAAAAGGGTTTTCTATAAGGCTCAAAACTGTTAAAATGAATGAATGAATGAATGAATGGTGTTTTATGGCACATCGACATCGTAATAACCTGGTCAATTTGCGCCAATCTATGTGCTATCGGAGATGATTTGCCTAATGTGCGGGGAGTAAATTCGCTGCAGGGGGTAACCGGAGTACCCGGAGGAAACCTGCGTGATTGAATAGGCTACTCCCGCACCTTGTCATTGATGACATTGATGACAGACCGACCACCCGACCACCCTCAAAACTGTTAGACTCGTAAAATAGAATTTAATGAGATGATTTAAACTAAAGGCAGAACACTAACACATTTAGAACTTAGAATAAGGCCTTTTTTGAACCAGTTACTTGAAAATTCAAGTTAGTATCTTGAAAATTCAAGTTAGTATCTTGAAAATTCAAGTTAGTATCTTGAAAATTCAAGTTAGTAACTTGAAAATTCATGTTAGTATCTTGAAAATTCATGTTAGTATCTTGAAAATTCAAGTTAGTAACTTGAAAATTCAAGCAAGTTAGTAACTTGAAAATTCAAGTTAGTAACTTGAAAATTCAAGTTAGTATCTTGAAAATTCAAGATAGTAACTTGAAAATTCAAGTTAGTAACTTGAAAAATTGAAAATAGAATAATAAAAAAAATATGTGGCCCTATTACGCTTCCGTACTATACAGTGTCTGATCCAGTCTATTTATAGCAGTTTTTTCTCTTCCCCCTTTTGCATGAAAGTTTTTGTCGAATTTTTGGTCTAGAATCAAAAAAGATATCACTGCCTACAGATTCTTTGACTTGACATACAACAAAATCAAGTGAAATAGTGTCCTCAAGAAGATAACTCCACAAAAAAAACACAGACAGGCGTTTGTCAGCCCCACTAATATGACTACCATTTTGATAGACCTCTTAAGTTTTTAAATTTTCATCAACAGCTTTTTCCTTTATCATATTTACAAACTTTTCATAACTTCGACTGTAAAAGGAGATGAAAACTTCCTAATTTACGATAGAATTTCAATAGGGACTTTTGTGCACAACTTAATATTTTGGAGAATAAAACTTCTTAATTTTGTGTTAAAATCCCTTAAAATCCTCTACCTTAGGGTCGGGCAACTAACTCAATATACGTGATATATTTTCAAGCTGCATTATGCGGTGTCTGGATAAAACCAGGCTTTAATTTTATAAAAATTATGTGTAGGTGAAATTTACCTTTCGTTATCAAGTACAGCACATGGGTCATTCATTGTATAGACCTCTAAAGGAACGGGAATCAATTATCAGGTCATCCAACAAAAAAATTGACCCGAAATCTTAAAAGGGTTACGTGTTCGGATAAGCAGTTTTGACGTTCACGCCCAAACGACTTAATATTTTGAGCTGAAACTTTGAGACAAGGTAATTACACCATTCCTTTATATTTTGGCGCTGAAATATCATATGTACTCAGACTTTTATTTTAGAGACTCTGTTCAATTCGGGATAGTCCCTTTAATGATTCAATCAAGTTTTTAAAAATTGTCCTTTATCGATGTTCACAAGCTTAAAAGTCAACAAAGGCAGTAACTTGTCGGGTCTCTATATGCCCACCAGAGGTAAAGTCATCTGTGCTAAATCTAAAATCATTGTCAACAATTCTCACAGAGCAAATTTTAAAAAAATCTACTATGTAAAATGCATTTGAAATTTATGATCCCATTATTTTGAAATTTAGCATGATTCTAAATCCCATAAGTTTTAATAAAGTTAGGATTCACCATCACAAGATTTCACAGTCAACTTGGCAAAAATTTGATGAGATTTATAGGTCTTTCCTCTAAATTCAGATACCAATAACAACCAATCATTTCCTTGCCTACGATCTATCTTGATATCTTGATTGTACTTTGGCATGACAAAAGTGTATAGAGAGTGAAATTCGAGAGTGATTATCATTCACTGCCTGATAAGAAAGTTAACAAGCCAACAGTGAGACTGATGTCCCCCGCCGAAATCCCAAAATAAATAGCTAGATGACACATATTAATTAATTGCACATTTATTTTTTTCAAAAGTATCGGCCAATCAAACTGTACACTAAGTTTCATCCCTCTCTACCAGATAGAATCAAGATTATCTTCTCCCAAAGCATCGTCCAATGAAATTATATATAAATTAGTTCTGCTTAGCTTTAGCTCGAAATGTAAATCATTGAACTCATTTAAGACATAATGAACATCTACATCAAGTTTAACCATTCTACTTCAATTAAAAGCAGAGTTGTTATGTTCCAAAGTCTTGACCAATCTAATTGTGTATCGCTCTGCTTACCCTGAGCAGAAAAAGATCATTATCGAACTTAGTCAAGGTATTGATGTACTGAAACTATACACCAAGTTTCATCACTCTCGCTTAAGTAGAACTAAAGTTATCTTGTCCCAAAGCATCAACCAATTAAATTGCTTATCTCTGCTTATCCTAGACAGAAAATGCTCATCTTCGGACTCCATCGCGGCATTGACCTAATAAACACCTACACCAAGTTTGAACATTCTAGCTCAATTACAAGGAGAGTTCTTGTATTCCGAGTCTCGGCCAATCAAATTGTTTATTGCTCTGCTTACCCTGAGCAGAAAATGCTCATTATTAAACATAGTCAAGGTATTGATGTGATAAAACTATACACCAAGTTTCATCACTCTCATTAAATTAGGGGGATCACGTGGCTAAGTGGGTAAGACACTGGCTCGCTAGCCTGGAGGTCGGGTGTTCGATCTCTGCATTGGCCTAGAAAGTTCATCCAGATTTT